GGATGGAGGGATGAGGGGTGGGTAGATGAAGATTGAATGAATGGATGGATGAATGAGTGGGCAGGTGGACAGATGCATGGGTGAATGAATAAGTGGGTGGACAGATGGACGCACGGATGCATGAGTGGACAGGGAGGCACATGGACATATGGCTACCTGAAGTGACCTCTCTTTTGCTTCTTCTCTCCAGAGTGCTCCCGTCACCAGGCCTGCATCGTCACCACTCTGCAGTCCCAAGCTGGGGCTGTGAGATGCATGTTCTATCCGGACACTCAGAGCTGCACACACAGCCTGCAGGGCCAGGACTGCCGACTGCTGCTCCGGGAGGGGACCACCCATGTCTTCCGGAAGTTGGGTGAGGCCTGGGCCCGAGCAGGGAGGGACTGTGCAGTGTGTGGCAGTGGCAGTGGCATGGCAGGCAGTAGCCTTTGAGAGGCTCCAGAGAACATTGGCCAATGTCCTCGGTGCCAGGTGGCCCTCGCCGATTTCAGGGACATAAGAAAACATATATTCTGACATGTGGTTCTTCTGCATCAATTTATTTGGTTATTTGTTGAATTATAGACGCCGCTTAGGGTTTGTGTTTTGTAGTAAAATGGGCCATTTTTTAAGCACTCTTACGTGGCTCACAGTGACTGATTTCCTTGGGCCCCACGCTATTCCAATGAGGTGGTAGGACAGGGGTCACCCCAGCTTCCAGATCAGGAGACTGGGGCCCAGAGGAGTCTGATCTCACACAGCCCGAGAGCTTCCCAGCTCCCTCCCCCACTCAACGGTGTTAGTTCAGTGACCCCCTGGAGGCAGGAAAGCAAGTGCGGGCCCTTGGGGTTCTCCAGCAGGTGCCAGTTTTTGTCTTTGCTTCCGTCCCCCTCCCAAAGAGCCACGGCCACGAAACAGGGCTGCTTCCTGAGCATGAACAATTTAGTCTTAGAGGGTTTGGCCCCGTGTGAACCTACAGTCCAGGGGCACTCGCCTGGCACCCCTGTGAGTTGAGCCTGGAACAGGAAATCTTGTGAGCAGGAGGCCTCTGTGGGGATGGCTGGTGGGGGTGATGGCGGCAGATGAAGGAGCAGCACCCATCTCTTTCCACCCTGCGCTTCCACTTTCACTTCTAACCCTTGACCATCAGTGTGACTGTGAGGAGAAGAAAGCCCTTCTGGTCCTCCTCCGCTTCCCTCTTTTCCTCCCTCCCTCTGTCTCCTTGCTTCCCTCCCCTCTTTGCCCTCTCCCTCTGTTCATGGGACCCATCCTTTCATTCAGGAGCCTGTGTTGCTTGTGATCCCCCATTGGCCTGGCTGCTCTGACCGAAACCCCAGAGACCCCAACCCTCCAATCCTGGGGAGACAGCGATGTTGAGTCCAGGTTCTCTCAGTAACCCGATCCGAGCTGTGCTTGTCTCCTGGGTAGCCTCACTGAGTGCAGGGAGCCTGCAGTGTGGGAAGGGAGGGGA